CTAAGGACCAATTATTGGTCCTACCAATAATCTTTGTTTTTCTAATTGTCCTTAGCTAAATCTCTTAACATTCCAAATACAATAAACTACTCTAAAGGACCAATTTTTGGTCTTTGCATTGCAGATGCCCTTAGTACTACACGACAAATCCTACGTGGACTTTAGATTCTCGAGGTTGTCTACTTCTTCCTCATAATTCATATATATAAACCATTCACAAGGTCGTCTCTTTCAATTCACAATCACAAACACATACAACAATCAAGATCTCTCTTCTTTGTACTAATACAAACTTACTAGTCAACTCAAGAGAGTTAAGTCTCTTTTTCTTCAAATACATACAAAAAATGGGAGCTTGTGTTTCACGTGAATCTATGAGGAGTGATTCAGCGAAGGTTATATTGTTCGATGGTACTTTACAAGAGTTCGCATCTCCGGTCAAAGTTTGGCAGATCTTGCAAAAGAATCCGACGAGTTTCGTCTGTAACTCAGATGAAATGGACTTCGACGACGCCGTTTCAGCTGTCTCCGGGAACGAGGAGCTCCGGTCGGGGCAGCTTTACTTCGTTTTACCGTTGACGTGGCTTAACCATCCGTTACGAGCGGAGGAAATGGCGGCTTTAGCTGTTAAAGCGAGCTCGGCGTTGACTAAAAGCGGCGGTATCGGATGGGTTACCGGCGACGGTGATGTATCGGTTTCTGATAAAACTTATCAGTCAAAAAACATCGCCGGAGTTAAGACAAACGGTGGTGGTGGAAGAGGTTGTGGTAAAGGAAAGAGGAGATTTTCGGCTAATTTGAGCACCATCGCCGAGTAGGGTCCATTTAGTCTTTTTGAGAAAATTCGACCGACGTATAAATTGTAATTAGAGACGTTCGACTTTCTTCTTTTACTTTTAAATGGAAAACAAAGTTATCCACTAGACTGTTATTGTTTTTGTTGCTTGTAATTTGAGAGATGGGCTCGAGGATGATGATGATATTCCAGTGATGTGATTCCAATCTTAATACAATGCAGTTTCGTAGAGAAAAATGAATCCTTGCGTAAATGGCTTGTCTGAACAATTATCCGGTAAATTGGTCTGTTGTATTTTAACCTAGATTCGGTGAAACCAACGGAAGTTGATGAATCTAAAATAAATTTGAATTGTATGACTGCATTGCAGAGATTCAAAACTATAACGGAACCTTTCTTTGTGTGTTTTTGTTTTGTATGAAAACAAGATAAGGATTAACATTAAGATATGTTCTGATGAAGTTGTGGTCCATTTTAACTTCTCTTGTGCGTATTTGTTACCTTTGTTTCCTCGTT